TCTAAATTTAGGACCCTATTTTTAGGGCCGTTGAATAAAGTGCCGAGGGCTGGGTTTGTTCGTAGGAGTCTGTGTTAGTTGACCTAGGTGTAAAGGATAACCCATCTCTTTTAATATATGTCTTCCTTACCAGCATAATCATTCTCATCAAATTCTGCCTTCTAACTCAAGTCTTAAATGAAGCAACTCAAAATGGAGCAGGTACTTCTTCCTAAACAAATCACCCAAGAGAACTGAGCAAATGAACAAAATCTTAAATCCTTAGAGTTTCCTAATGTAAGCTTTCATAGCAACAGAACTATTACGCCATAAAATATCAACAACTGGCCCAAGTTCACAGCAAGTGATTTTCAGGACTAAAATGCGGCCTAGTTTTGCAGAACTCAAATTGCTATCTCTTTCTTTTTTGCCACATCAGCTTAAGGAGTTCCAGGAACTGCCTGTATCAGGGAGTACCCGAAATCGCTTAATAATTTTCCATTTTTTAGGTACAAAGTATTACACAACTTTCTTATATACGGTGCATATTGAAATTTTAGATTCTAAGTTTATTAAAGTCAAAACTGTTTTGACTTTAATCTTGAAGCATAATCAAAATTTTACCTTTAGAATTTTAAAAACTCTTAGAACAATGTATGCTTCAATTAGAACATTGTATTACTTGATAAAAATTCTTCAACATGTCTGAACATTTTCAGGGAACTCCAGAATCATTTTAAGCTGGCAGGACTTATTTAAAAAAATCTCTTTGCCCTCTCTCCATCAGTCTGTGCCCTTTTCCAATTTTGAATTACCATTCAAAATATTAAAAACATAGATTAGGGACAAAAGAATGAATGATATAAAAAAAATCTAAGTTTCTCGCATTGCAAAAACACAGTAATGCTTACCAAAGTCAGGACGAAAGTCCAAATCTAATTTCTTTTCTATACACTTAATAGTCATATAGAAACTTACCTCTTCCTCCAGATCTTTCAATTCCATTTCTTAAAAAGCTCATATTAAGATAATATTAATTTCATATCAAAATATCCTAACATGTAAATAAAGTTCTACTAACCACCTGATATCCTTGAGAAGGATTTCAGGTTCTAATACATCCTGCTCTCTTCTGTTTCCACACCACTGTGATCCTGTTTTGACACTTGTGTGGTAAAGGGGTGCTATAGGTGGAGTTGTGACTACCAACCCATAATCTGATTTCATGGACCTCACTCCTTATTAAATGTATACACACACACGTGTATATATGTTTTCTTAAATATCATACATATCACTGCCCTCTTAAAATCTACAATTGGAAATAAAATCCTGAATTTGATAACTGAAAAAAAACTGAATGTTTTATACTCTATTCATAAAGAGTACATGATTTCTGTCATGCAAAAAATATTCCAAGATTGTTCTCCATAAGTAGACATGGGATTTTACAGTCTTATATAGGGCTGCTTTAAAGCATAATGGAGAACATTCAATGTTAATGTTTGTGACAGCTACTAGAAAATATCCAAGAACACTGGACATATGCTAGCCAGAAAAGTTGGTCCACAACCTAGAAACGGATTTCCCCTTATTAAGGGGCCCTATTGCAAAGCTGCAAGTACTAGTTACTCCCATTTAATTAAATAGGCAGTGTCACCAGCTTTAAGATCTAGTCCTTTGGAAGAAAATCAAACAATTGTTGAGCCACATCTTCATTCCCTGTATTAGTGGTGTAAGACTTGTTCTCAGAACATATTGAATCAGGAGCTACCTGTTGAACAAGAGCTAGGTAATTTCCATTGTTTATTCCATGAATAAATGAAGCATTCTACTTAAGAATATATAAATACTAGAAGCCAAAGAGTCTTGAGGATACTCTTTGTATTATAAAATAGATTAAAAGTAGCATGGATTCCTATTACTTAAGCAATACAAAGAAAGTAAATTCTGTACAAAATCCACCTGAAATTACCAGTAAGTTAAAACAATTTCCTGGAACATTTAGGCAGAAGAAAAGAAAACTCTTTCACCTAAATATGCCTGGAAAATTGTTCAAATTTTCTATTTACTGGAACTATCCAAATCTGTATTATGGGTGCTTAATAGACACAGATTGTTAAAATTCTAGATTTGGCAGGAACTCTTCAGAGAAAACATCAAGAATCCCATTTACAATAGCTACCCAAAAAATAAAATAAAATATGTAGCAGTAAATTTAATCAAAAAGGTAAAATAGCTCCATAAGGAAAACTACCAAACACTTATGAAAGAAATTGTAGATCACACAAACAAATAGAAAAACATCCCATGTTTATGGGTTGGAAGAATTAATGTTATTAAAATGACCATACTACCCAAAGCAATCCAAAGAATCAATGTAATTATTATCAAAATACCAGTCATTTTTCTACAGAATTAGAAAAAAATCCTAAAATTCATATAGAACCAAAAAAGAGCCTGAATAGCCAAAGCAATCTTAAGCAAAAAGAACACAACTGGAGGCATCACATTACCTGACTTCCATTTATATTACAAAGCTATAGTAACCAAAACTGCATGGCACTGGTATAAAAAATAGACACATAGATCAGCAGAACATAATAGAGAACTCAGAAATAAAACCATATACCTGCAATCAACTGGTCTTTGACAAAGGAGATAAGAATATACATTGGTGAAAAAACACCCTTTTCAATAAATGGTGCTAGGTAAATTGCATAGCCATGTGCAGAAGAATGAAACTGGACCCCTAACTCTCACCATAAAATCAACTCAAGATGGATTAAAGACTTAAATGTAAGACCTGAATCCATAAAAATCCTAGAAAAAAATAGGGAAAACTCTTCTGGACATTGGTCTAGACAAAGAACATATGACTTACACCTCAAAAACACAGGCAAAAAAAAAATGTAGACAAATGGGACTTAATTAAACTAACAAGCTTCTACACAGCAAAAGAAATAGTCAACAGAGTAAACAGACCCTGTAAGTTGGGAGAAAATATTTGCAAACTATTCATCCAGTGGGGGACTAATATCCAGAATATACAAGAAACTCAACAACAACAATAAATAATCCCATTAAAAATTGAGCAAAAGACATGAATAGATACTTTTCAAAAGAAGATGTGCAAAAGAAGATGTGCCAACAAGTATATGAAGACAAAAAATATTGGGACTGCCGGCGCGTTGGCTCACGCCTGTAATCCTAGCTCTTGGGAGGCCGAGGCGGGCGGATGCCCAAGGTCAGGGTTCAAAACAGCCGGAGCAAGAGAGCGAGACCCGTCTCTTATAAATAGAAAATTTAATTGGCCAACTGATCTATATAGAAAAATTAGCGGCATGCGGTGGCCGCCTGTAAGTCCCAGCTACTCGGGAGGCTGAGAGGCAGAAGGACCTCGAGCCCAGGAGGTGTTGAGTTGCTGTGAGCTAGGCTGACGCAGGCACTACTCTAGCCGTGGGCAACAAAGGAGACTCCTGTCTCAAAAAAAAAAAAAATATTGGGACTGCAAACTAGTGCAACCACCTCTATGGAAAATAATATAGAGATTTCTCAAAGAACTAAAAGTAGATCTACCATTTGATCCAGCAATCCCACTAGTGGGTATTTACCCAAAGTAGAAAAAGGCATTTTATGAAAAACACACTTGCTACTAGAGTGTTTATTGCAGCACAATTCACAATCGCAAAGATGTGGAATCAACCCAAGTGCCCATCAATTCATGAGTGGATTAATAAAATATGATATATGTATACCATGGAGTACTACTCGGCCGTGAAAAATGAATTAATTAATACTTTTTGCCACAATCTGGATGGAACTGGAAGCAATCCTCCTAAATGAAGTATTGCAAGAATGGAAAAACAAACACCACATGTACTCACTATTAAATTGGAACTAACTGATCAGCACTTATGTGCACAGATGGAAGCAAAACTCAATGGAAATCATGCAGGTGAGAGAAGGAAGGAGGAGATGGGTGAAATCATAGCTAACGGATACAATGTACACTATCTGGATGATGGGCACTCTTATAACTTTGACTCAAGCAGTACAAAAGCAATCCATGTAACCAAAACATTTGTATCCTCATAATATCCTGAAATTTTTTTAAAAAGTGCTTCCTAAATTATTTCAATGGTAGAAGTAGATGAGAAAAGGAACTAATATTTGTAAAAGGCCTCCTATGTGCCAAGTACCATAACTGGTTCCTTTTGCAATACCCCACTTAATAAGATTTATAAGAAATGGCTGGGCATGGTGACTCAAGCCTGTAATCCTAGCACTTTGGGAGGCTAAGGCAGGAGGATTGCTTGAGGTCAGAAGTTCAAGACCAGTCTGAGCAAGAACGAAACCCCATATCTACTAAAAATAGAAAAAATTAGCCGGGCGTTGTGGCACGCCCCCGTAGTCCCTGCTGCTTAGGAGGCTGAGACAGGAGGATCACTTGAGCCCAGGAATTGGAGGTTACAATAAGCTATGATGACAACACTGCACTCTAGCCAGGGTGAGAAAGTGAGACTCTGTCTCAAAAAATGTATATATATATATATATATATATATATATATATATACTATATATTTACAAGGATAAAGTGAATAGAATTTGGAATTTTAGTTACAGCTTGGTTACATTTTGAGATATTAGTTGCTTTTGGATTCTCAAGTTACACCTTTTTGAGGTCACAGCTTCATTCAAATAATAATTGCTTAAGACTCATTTTTAGTTCATATTATTTCTGAATTACCTTATTTAGTATAATTTTCCTTAATTTTAAAAAGGGGGGGACTATTGCTTAAGATTAACAAAGGTTAGGGAAAGATTTTTAAAATTCTTAAGAACATCCATGCAACAAAACATTAATGTAAAGAGAAGTCTTACATGTAAGGTTTCATGGAAAGAGAAACATGATATAAATTTTATATAGAGAGAAGTCATTCAAACATATTCTGTAGCCACTCATATATTTAGTAAAATAGGTAAAAATGAGTGCAAAAGATTAAAATAGCCAACTCACCCTTTCTGTAAGAACTACAATTGGTGAAAATGCAGAATTCATGACATCATAAACATCAATTTGAAATAAATATTTCATAATCTGAAATTCGGAAGCATCTTCTGTTGATTTATAAATAAAAATATGTTAACATGATGTTTTATAGGTTCTGAATCTAATTTCTCCCTTAATTGATGCATTAAAGAACAAATAACCTGTTTCTTACCTTTTTGAGGAATGTAATTTCCAGTAGACAGTAGGTTATCAGGTGAAACCATCTGACTATTTAGCAGGGTATTTTCCAAAGATCTATCTATTTCCACCTGAGTGGGACCTTCAGCATCCACTGATGGTTTTGATTTTTCATAATTATTTTTAGAAGATGGGGTTTTGAAATGTACTTCTTCATGAATTCTCACAGGTGACTCTATTTTAGAGACCATATCTGCAAATAAATAAACAGAAATGTAAATTTTTTTAAATACTTGCTTTTTTATGGGCTTCCTTTTTGTTTTCTAGGCAGGTCATTCTTTTGAACCTTTGTGGTCATTGTGACACTTCAATTAGAGAAAGAATGCATTAAAACATAAATTGTAGCCTGTATTAGTTCCTATTGTTGGTGTAATAAATTACCACAAATTTATCGACTTAAACAATACAAATGTGTCTTCTTAGAGTACTGGAGGTCAGAAATCCTAAAACCAAGGTATCGACAGGGCTACATTCATTCTGGAGGCTCTAGGGGAGAATCTATTTCCATGCCTTTTCTATTTTGTGGAGGCCTTCTGCATTCCTTGGCTCATGGCCCCACCCTCCATTTTCAAAGCTAGTGGTGCAGCATCTTTAATCTCTCAAACTCTCTCTCTCTCTCTTACTCTGATCCTCCTACCTTCCCCCTAAAAAGAACTTTGTAAGTATATTGGGTCCACAAGAATAATGGAAAATAACATACTTACATGGTCTGGGGGTTAAGACATGGACATCTTTGAGAGGGTTTTATTCAGCCTACTACATAGTCTTTACTCTTTGTCCAAGGAAAAATTAAAAAAAAAAAATCTGTATACAATTCTATTCTCTACATTGCCTTTTGTCCTAAAAAATATTAAAAATAAAAAACTAATGCAACTGTCAACAACTCTGTTGCACTATGTAAGCTTATAAGAGTAAGACAGTAAATAGATCCCCTTAAGATTTCATTCCTGTTAGATACATTTATTATCCAAGAAGGTATAATATCTAAAGAAGTATCAGTGTTGTCCTGAAAAGCAGTATTAAGTGAATTGTTCAATGTCTCATTTTGCTCTTTAAATATATGATTCTTAACACAGCATTTTAACACTGTCACTTATTTAGCATTGTTTAAAAGATGAAAGTCCGCCTGGTGCGGGGCTCGTGTAATCCTAGCTCTGGAGGTGAGGCGTGGTGGGAGCCCGAGGTTCAGGAGTTCGAACAGCGCGAGCGTAAGAGCGGAGGACCCCTCTATAATAAAGAAATTATTGGCATAATATTATAAAAATTAGCGCATGGGTGGCGAATGCCTATATAGTCCAGGCTACTGGGTGAGGCTGCAGGCAGGAGGGATTGCTTGGCAGCCAGGAGTTGGGAGGTGGCTGTGAGCAGTGCTGACGCCATGGCACTCACTCTAGCCTGGGCACAAGGCGAGACTCTTGTCTCACAAAAAAACAAAAAAAAAAATGACAAGTCCAGCTGACGCAGAACAATACAGTAATATATCATACCACCTGTGGAGTTAATATTTAAAAGAACAATCAAATCAGGGAGTCTGAGTAAATGGGATGTGTAAATACAGGACTCAAATAGTGATCTACAATAATGTTTAATGGCTTATCTGGGGAAAACTTTATTCAATAATAAGCTGAGGCTGGGCACGGTGGGCTCATGCCTGTATCTAGAACTCTGGGAGCCGGAGTTACGATTGGCTAGAGTCAGGAGTTTGAAACCAGCCTGAGCAAGATGGACCTGTCTCTACTATAAAAGAAAGAAGTTGGCCAATAACATGCATATAGAAACAAATTAGCTGGGCATCGGGTGGACATGCTGTAGTCTAGCTCGGGAGGCTAGGCAGCGATTGCTGAGTCAGGAGTTTGAGTTTGCTGGAGTTAGGCTGGCGCCCAACTCACTCTACCGGGGCAACAAAGTGAGACTCTGCTCAAAAAAAAAAAAATAATTATTATACTCAAATTTACATGGTGCTATGTTGATTCTTCTAAAATATTATTTTAAACTTCATTTGAAATAAATATATAATAAGAAAATGAATATTCTCCATAGTAGTTTGCTACTTAATTATAGTTTTAGGTATTATTTTCACAAGACTTAAACCTAAGCTTTAAGATTTACATTATGTTAATCAGAGACAAGCCAAAAAAAGAAAGAAAAAAGATTTACTTTACATACAAATATGCCTTTCTTTGAAATTGTTTATTAGCAGAATTTTAAGTCAAAATATTTATTTTTAACATTTAACTTTACTTTGGAAACTCATTTATTATATAAGCACAATCGGAGTCCTTTTGTAAAATAGTTATTAATATTGTAATATAAATAACTGTTCCCTAATTTATCTGTTTTGTAAATTCCTATATCAGCATATCAATTTTTCTGTAAATGTAGTTATCTCAAGTCCCAACCTTTCACAAACATTAATTCAAGATCAGTGATTCATCTTTCTCATGCATTCTAATTAAGGCAAATTTTCATTTGTTATTCCCTGTAAGAGTCGTTGAAACTATCTGAAAAGATTGACTGTTTTACCCATTTCTCTAGTATCCAAAAAATAGAGGCTGTGGCTTTATATAAATCCCTCTTTTATGAATCCTTTTTAAAAACAAATTTATGCATGATTCCAGGTTGCTTTTCTTTCATTAATGAAAAGATCTCTAACAGTCTAGGTCTCCAATGTTGTTAGTAATGGTAATGTTTTAGGATAGCCCGCTTTATTTATATATGACATGTCTTCTTTTCTGACACTTAAAATAATTTCTGAACATTTTCATAAAAGTCTCTCAAAACTAGATATAATTGCACGAATGCCTTATTGTCATTTAGCTATTTACCAAATTTATAAATTCTCCCAGTATCACTATATGAATTTTTTTTTTTAAAGACAGGGTCTCACTATATTGCTATCTTGCCCAGGCTGCTGGGCAGTGGCTATTCATGGTTGTGATCATAGTACACTACAACCTCGAACTCCTGGGCTCAAGAAATCTTCCCGCCTCAGCCTCCCAAGTAGGTGGGACTATGACATGCACCACTGTGCCCAATTAAATGAAATTTACTAAAATGATTTTCAGGATGCCTACAAGTTTCTATAATTATGTTCTAAAATATTTTTATGTATCAATCTTTTGAATCTTCTGTATTTCTGGACCTGATATTGTTACATTTTGTTTTGTTGTAGTCTCTCATCTTCTTTGCAATTAATGTGATCTGCTTTGTCACAAATATTCCTTTAGAATCTAACAAGTTTGGAACAAGAAAATTTTTCTTTTAATTAGTCCTTGACAGTCTAGGTCTCCAATGTTTTTAGTTATAAAAAGCATCATACCTGCACCTTTCTTATTTGGAAAAGGATTAGAATCTGAATATCTATATGCTGGTTGAGGATATTGATTGAGTAGAGAGCTCACTTTTTGAAGAATATTCAAATATCACATAAATTTCTGGAAGTTCAGGAATATCGGCTGGTTCTAATAGAAATGTACTTCCTCCTGAGTCGCAACCTTGTTGGCTTTTTCCTATGAAGGTTTTCTGTCATTCTAAGGTTTAATTGCTTCTGTATTATTGGTCAATATTTGCTGAGTTTCTAATCTGTTCATCAGAGAAACATCAGGATGGAGACATGGGAAAGTCATATTACATAATTCTTTATTTAAAATACAATCCACGGTACTGCTCTATTCTGTTGCCCTCTGTTGAACTCCTAGAATTGAGAGCCTTAAGGGAGAAAGTCAAAAACTTTTTACTTTATTTTTGCTTGAGTTTCCTTATTACTTTGAACAGTTAAAGAAAATCCACATTATCATTGCTCTCCTTAGGAAAAACAAAACAAATCAAAACTACAGACCTAGAAAAAAATATAATTTAAGAATCAAGACTATTTTTAATTATCAAAGTTTCCCTTAGTTTAGGTTTCTAAGAAAACCATTCAAATATAGTTGTATTAAAAAGGTGTAAATGAGCTAAAAAATGAGTGCGAATCTACCAGAATAGGAAGTCAATAGACATTATCTAAAATACTTGGTGGCTCATATGGATGGCTCAAGGTCAGGAGTTCAAAACCAGCCTGAGCAGGAGCGAGACGCTGTCTCTACTAAAAAATAGAAAGAAATTAATTGGCCAACTGAAAATATATATAGAAAAAATTACTCAGGCATGATGGTACATGCCCGTAGTCCCAGCTACTCAGGAGGCTGAGGCAGAAGGATTGTTTAAGCCCAGGAGTTTGAGGTTGCTGTGAGCTAGGCTGACACCATGGCACTCTAGCACAAGGAACAGAGTGAGATTCTGTCTCAAAAAAAAAAAAAAAGAAAGAAAGAAAGAAATTGTTTTGGGGGAAAAAAGCCTTAGCACTATTTAAATTTAACCCTATTTACAATAATAGTTTGATTAAAATTAAAATTTATTGCAAAATACCTTAGTGTCTTCTGGGAACATCAATAGATTTCCAATCATTCTTTTTTTCTTGATATTTTGTTTTATAATATTAAGATCTAAGTTCCAGAGTAAACCAGAAATTGATAAAAGGATGGTTGTTATTGATTACTGAGTATTTTGAAAAATATAGATTCCTGGACTTTTTCATCTGATTTATACTTTTTTTTTTCTTTTTTTTGAGACAGAGTCTCGCTTTGTTACCCAGGCTAGAGTGAGCCGTGCGTCAGCCTAGCTCACAGCAACCTCAAACTCCTGGGCTCAAGCAATCCTTCTGCCTCAGCCTCCTGAGTAGCTGGGACTACAGGCATGCACACAACCATGCCCGGCTAAGTTTTTCTATATATATTAGTTGGCCAATTAATTTCTTTCTATTTATAGTAGAGACAGGGTCTCACTCTTGCTCAGGCTGGTTTCAAACTCCTGACCTCGAGCAATCCGCCTGCCTCGGCCTCCCAGAGTGTTAGGATTACAGGCGTGAGCCACCGCGCCCGGCCTGATTTATACTTATAAAAATAAATTGTTTAATCCTAGCTCTCTGTCTCAAAAAAAAATAAAAATAATAAATAAATAAATTGTTAAAAAATAAGATAAATTATATCATAGATATTTTCATACCAACCTGACTCACTGTATCTGCTTTCCAACATCCTAACTTTCATATTATCTATGGGATAATTTTCAGTTGAAAACTCTTCTGTTTCATCATTTTCAACTACATTATTTTGATCCAATGTCTGTTTGGGAAATGACAATTCTGTTTCCTTTGGAATGTTTTGTAAGCTCCAAGGGTTATACAAGAACTTTTTCAAATACGGCAAGGTATCAGAATCATCTGTTTTCTCTAAGACTCTTTTCTTATCTATTTGATCTTCTGTTTCCATAATTTTTATCGTTGGCATTTCTTGTTCCTTATAAGGGTCAAATTCACTTGCTGTGGGATACTCATGTTTATCTTCTCCACCATCTTCTTCATTTTTTCCATCATCCAATATAATTTTATCTTCATTGGCATAGGCAAAGCCCAGTATACCAAAACCAAAATCAAACCAACTTGGCTTGAGAATTGAGCTGTCATTTGTGATCATATCTTCTTTTTCTGTTAATATTTCTGTACATGGAACTATGGCTTCTTCATCAGATGATATGGAATTGGGGGCATCTTGTAGTGGTGGATTGCTTTCTTTGGACAATAATTCAAGCTCTGTATCCTCATCTCCAAACCCTAAATAACTTGTAAATCCACCACCAAACCAACCAGTGGCTTGAGGTTTAAGAACGTGCTCTGACTCGGAGGCTAGTTCAGACTGCTTCTTTGGCACAGAATCAAGTTCTGATCCAGGTTCTTTCTTTTGTTCTGTTTGGTGCACACCATTATTTAATTCCTGTAAGTCATTCTCATCTTCCACTGCTATTTTTCTGCTGTGAAATGAGCTTTCTTGTACAGGTTCAATGACTGATTCAAAAGCCTTCTTTTCAGCTTGATCACTTCCCAATCCAAACCATTCTGTTACTTCAGGCACAGGTGAGAATGGTGGGACATGATCCTCTTCTGGAATATGATCTTGTTCCACTCTTTCAGCTTCTACTTCTTCCCAGTCTTCTGATTCACTGGTACTTCTGATATCTTCAGGAGCCTCTGATGCTGGGAATTGGTCTTCAAACAAAGTACTTTCAGAAGTTGCATAAAATTCAGATTCTATCTGGAAATCATTTTCATATTTACTAAACTTTTGGTCTTTATCTTCTTCATATGTGTATATATTTTCACCATTATCACTGTTTAACTCACTATCTTCATTTTCAAATGTGTAGCTTGCTCCAAGAAGACAAAGAAAGTCAGATTCCTAAAAGGAAAAAAATATGATTGGTATAAATGCACTAAAGCTCCTTGTTTCTCCCTGAGTCATTTAAAATGAATTACTATGATTTTCCCAAGACCACACAACTAGCTCAACAGCAGAGCAAAAACTGAAATCAAATCTTCTAATCTCAAATACTTGTATCACAACTGACTTGTAGAAGTTAATGATCTAAACCTAAATGAACATAAAACTCCTTTTACATTATGGTTTGTTATTAAATAGTTGAAAAATCTGAGAAGCAGAGACAATCAATGCTTTGAGTATATATTGCAAATAAATTCTGATGAAAAGACATGCATATCTACAAAATCTTATACTTCCTGAGAGTATACTGACTTGGCACATGTAGCTGTATAGTGATTTGAGGAAGGGTACTATGGCTTGAATATGTCCTCAAAAACTATGTGTTAGAAACTGAATACCCAAAGCAAAAGTGTTGGGAAGTAAGGCCTAATGAGAGGTGATTGGCCATAAGTGCAGAGTGAATGGATTAATTCCATTATTGCAGATGTGGGCTCAGTATCACAGGGTGGGTTCCTTATTAAAGGACCAGTTCAGCCCACTCTTGCTCTCTCTCTCTCTCTCTCTCTCTCTCTCTCTCTCTCTCTCGCCTTCTACCATGGGATAACACAGCAAGAAGACCCTCATCAGATGTTAGCACCTTGATGTTGGACTTCCCAGCCTTCAGAACTGTGAGAAATAAATTATTGTCTTTATGAGTTATCCAGTCTCTGGTATTCTGTTATAGCAGCATAAATGGAAAGGCAGAGGGAAATTGCACAGCATATGGTTACAGCTCAAACAGACCAGAGACTCTAAACCATGAAGACATGATTAAAGATTGCACTAAAACAGTTACGCTTCTTTTATTGAGATGTTGCATTCAGCCAATAGAAGTGGGGATCTTCTTGCTCTTCTCACAGAACAACCATATTATTAAGAAGAAAAATGATGAAGACACTTTTTAAATCTAAAGGTTAGAAATAGTGATATGTGCTACTTTTTGGATATTACCATTATGAAATGAGAATAAAGTTCAGGTTTTTAAAAACTAAACTTCAGAATTGCAATTTTATAATATGTGTTTGGCACTGCAATCTAGTGAGTAAGAACAGACTCTGGAGTCAAACCTTTCAGTTCAACTCCTGACTCTGCCATCTACTAACTTTGTGACCTTGGGTAAATTATACAACCTTTCTATGCCTCAGTGTCCTCATCTGTAAAATGGGGATAATGACAGAGCCTACTTTATAGGGGTTTTCTGTGGATTAAATGAGACAAGTACTTAGAATACTAACTGCCTCTAGTAAACACTAGTTTAGCCCAGCCCAAAGTTACACTACCCCACAGGTAGCCAGGATTACAGGGGTAAAAGGCCCAACCCTCTTGTCTTAGGACAAGAAGGTCTGAAGGGCCATCCTAACTTTAGGGCTTCTTTTTTTTTTTGAGACAGTCTCACTCTGTTGTCAGGGTTAGAGTGCCGTGGCATCAGCCTAGCTCACAGCAACCTCAAACTCCTGGGCTCGGGCAATCCTCCTGCCTCAGTCTCTCAGGTAGCTGGGACTACAGGCATGCACCACCATGCCCGGCTCATTTTTTCTATTTACTTTAGTTGGCCAATTAATTTCTATTTATAGTAGAGATGGGGTCTCCCTCTTGCTCAGGCTAGTTTCAAACTCCTGACCTTGAGCGATCCTCCTGCCTTGGCTTCCAAGAGTGCTAGGATTACAGGTGTGAGCCACCACTCCAGGCACTTCAGGGCTTCTTATAGAATCAACTGAGACTTGTAGCAACTGCATCACAGTTCAACTCCTGAATCTACCCAATTGTGCTTTTTCTTTTGTTTCCTCACAGGTATTATTCCCAAGAGTACTTCTGAGTAAACTTCTTTTTTTTTTTGAGACAGAGTCTCGCTTTGTTGCCCAGGCTAGAGTGAGTGCCATGGCATCAGCCTAGCTCACAGCAACCTTGAACTTCTGGGCTCAAGCAATCCTTCTGCCTCAGCCTCCTGAGTAGCTGGGACTACAGGCATGCGCCACCATGCCCGGCTAATTTTTTCTATTTTTTCTATATACATTAGTTGGCCAATTAATTTATTTCTATTGTGAGGGGTCGAGACATTGCATACCTGCAAGGCCCACACCCCCAGTGAAGCCGGAACCAACATCCGGCTTCTGGAAACTGTTGCTTGCTTGCCATGGAAACCGTTGCTTGCTTGCTTGTTTGCGCCAACTTTGTATTGTTTGAACCCCTGTATAGTGGGGCTACCAGCCAACCAATCATGTTAAAGGTCAATGCATGATCCACACGTGATCAGCCACTGCATAGCGTATGCACCATAGGGATAAAAGGCCCGCTGCAACCCCAGTCAGGGTCCTTGCCTGCAAGAGTGGCCACTGCGTTGGTGCTCTAGGGCTTGGACCCTGGCTAGCCAGAAAATAAACCTCCTCTTGTGTAATTACATCCTCGATGTCTCTGCTTTTCTGTCCGGTGGGGCTATAGAAGGTCGGTCCCTAACACTATTTATAGTAGAGACAAGGTCTCACTCTTGCTCAGGCTTGTTTTGAACTCCTGACCTCAAGCAATCTGCCTGCCTCGGCCTCCCAGAGTGCTAGGAGCCACCACGCCCGGTCTCAGTAAACTTCTTGAATGCAAAGATTCATCTTGGTGTCTCTTTCCCAGGGACCTTTTTATTTATTTATTTTTATAACAACTGAGGGCTAAGGGACCAAGGAACTTGACATAAGCATGTGAGGTGTCTGTGTGCTTACTATGTGCCTGTGTGGTAGTAGGTGCTGGGATTCTATAGTAATGAACAGAAAAAACTAATTGTAGGCTGGGCGAAGTGGCTCACACCTATAATCCCAGCACTTTGGGAACCTGAGCTGGGAGGATCACTTAAGCCGAGGAGTTTGAAGCTTCAGTGAGCTCTGCTGATGTCACTGTACTCTAGCCTGGGCAACATAGCAAGACCCTATCTCAAAAAAAAAAGAAAGAAAGAACAAGAAAGAGAGAAAAAAAATTGTAAATTGCAATAAATGCTACAGAGGAAATAAACAAGAAGCTATGATTAAGAAAGAATAATTTCTTTAGAATCATAATGTAAGACCTCTCAGAGACACTGATTTTTATTTTTAATTTGCAAATCAGCATACTTTTTTCCACTTTATTGACATGTAATTGGCATGCAAAAAACTGCATGGGCAGAGCATGGTGATTCATGCCTATAATCCTAGCACTTTGGGAGGCTGAGGTGGGAGGATCACTTGAACCCAGAAATTTGAGGTTGCAGTGAGCTATGATGATGCCACTGCACTCTATCCCAGAGCGAGAGAGCGAAATCCTGTCTCAAAAAACAAAACAACAACAACAACAAAACCTGCACATAATTAATGTATATAATTTGATGAGTTTGGACAAATGTATACAATGGTGTTACCATCAACACAATCCAGGTGATAAACAAATCCATTGCTTCTAAAAGTTTTCTAGGAGGCATTGATGTTTAAGCTGTGGCCTAAAGCATTAAAACATAAGAAAAAATTAGCCCAAGTGAAGAATTTGGGGAAAACGTTCCAACCAGAAGAAATAGCCTATTTGGATCCCTGGGCTGGGAAAGAGCTCTGCCTATTCTAAGAACAGTCCAAAGGCCAGTTTGGCCAGGTCACGTGAGTGAGGAGAGAGTGGCAGGAGATAGGGTTAGCAAGGGAGAAGGAGCAGATCATGTGGGCCTGTGAGGCCAGGGTAAAGAGTCTGGGCTTTATTCCAGGTCCAGTGAAAACCCATTAAAAGTTTTTAACCAAAGCAATGACATGATCTAATTTTGTTTTTATTTTAGCTTTCACAAGATCCATTGCTGTTTGAAGAAAGGGTTAGAAGAGGGCAAAAGTAGAGCCAAGGAAAACAGTCAGAAGTTTATTGTACTATTCTATACTCCAGCTATATCTTAGAGATAGAACTGACAGTACCAATTATTATACAGTAAATGGACAGCTAATCCCAGAGTTTGTGCTGGGAAAGAGCCAGAATATAGACAGTTTGTTTAACTAGACAGACTGGCTTCACACTGACCTCATTTAAGGTAAATTGACCTAACCTGGAATCTGAATAAAATGGGCTATTCAAATAGCTATTCAAATTTATATATTGAAAAGTCCCCTTTCTTAGATTCCCTTTCTTATTATCAAACCCAACATTATCAAGGTCATTAAAAACTTCAACAGCAAAAGAGGTTGTACAGATGTGAGACCTAGGGAAACTAGGGTAAATAAACTTTGGTCCTGTGGGACAATAACATTAGTAATAGTATCTAACACACAGCACTTAGTAAGTGCTGTTCTATCTACATCATATATACTCATTTATTCCTCAGTAAATTTGAGATAGCATTATCTTACATTCAACACTCCCATTTTACAGATAAGGAGATTGAGTCATACTAGGCTAGTAAATGGCTGAGTCTGGCTTTGAACTCAGTCTGTCTCCAAAATCAATGCTCTTAACCACTGGACTCTACTACTAGTCTGTTAATTGTTCAGAAAGCATCAATTTTGTCTTACCAAATTTTATTCACATACTCAAACTATTCCCAGTGTAAATTCTCAGGCCAACTATTTTATGAATTTACCACACAAGGTACATAACCAACGGACATTTACGCCAAGGAAAACAGTTTTAGCCAATACATTTTAAACTCAATTAATAACTGAGAATGAATTTACTTACTTTAGTTGATATTTGAACTTCCTCAGATATGAACACCTCTTCAATCTGGACTGCATCTCTGGGAAAATATCCAAAGTCCTTCCCTTTCTATCAGAATGATGAACAAAGATTGTCAAGGAAGAGTGATCAAAGCAATAATAACTCTTGAGTCTAATTTTTCTCTCTGTCCTTGGTTTTTACCTACTCCAAATCACAGACTTTAATTGACTATCAGTTGCCATCTAAAAGAAAGTGAGTGAAATCATGTTCTTTTGTTATTCAAAAGAACATTAATTTAAGGGAACACAGAGCTAAACTGTAAAATGCCACTGGTTCAAACTTCAGAAGGAAAACCAGTCCACCTACTCATTTTCTTCTTTTTACTATTCTTCATGGCCTTCCTTGTCCAGGTGGACCACAGATTAACCAGTTGAACAGGAATATCAAAAGGCCAGGCAATGGCAGCAGTAGCCAAGCTAGATGGAGCTGTGACATAGTCAATGGTTTCAGGATGTTAAAATCAGATAAGATGTTTAAACTCTAAAAGGACACAGATGGATTCATCTAGATAGTAAAGGTCCACAAGTCCTCTAGGGAGGATTTGGTTCCATTCCACTTTTCTGGGGCTAACATCCTCTTTTTTTTTTTCTTTTGAGACAAGAGTCTCACTCTGTTGCTGGGCTAGAGTGCGGTGGCATCAGCCTAGCTCACAGCGACCTCCAACTCCTGGGCTCAAGCAATCCTCCTGCCTCAGCCTCCTGCGTAGCTGGGACTACAGGCATGCGCCACACCCAGTTAATTTTTGTTTCTATTTTTAGTAGAGACGGGGTCTCTCTCTTGCTCAGACTGGTCTCAAGCAATCTACTGACCTAAAGCAATCTACACGCCTCGGCCTCCCAGAGTGTGAGGATTACAGGCATGAGCCACTGCACTAGGGCACAAACGTCCTCTTAACCCAGTTCAAACACATGCAAGATGTCTCCCGAGAGTGAAGGCTTCACATAACCACTCTCAATTTCCTATCCCTGTGAACATTTTTTATCATAGCTCACTGTAACCTCAAACTATTGGGCTCAAAGCAATCCTCCCGCCTCAGCCTCCCAAGTAGCTGGGATTCTAGGCACCTGCCACCACACTCAGCTAATTTTTAAAATTTTTTTTGTAGAGATGAAGGTCTCTCTGCATTGTCCAGGCTGGTCTCAAACTTCTGGCCTCAAGCAGTCCTCCCACCTTAGCCTCTCAAAGTGCTGGGATTACAGGCATGAGCCACCACCCCAGCCCCCTGTTAAAGTTTAAAGAACATTTTAGTCCTCTGATCCAGCACCATTACACTTCAATTGTAATTCTTCCAACTCCCCAGTTGCTAGAACTATTTGGAAACTGACAGCCTGTGGGTCCTCAGTATGGTTCCTTGAATAGCTATCCACATGAACTTAAACACCAAATGCACGAAGCTAAGGGTGCCTGAAACTTCACCCTGGCTCCACACATTAAATACTGCTTTCATGTGAAACTATTATTTTACACGTAGCAAACAAGAAAGAATGCTTTCTTTGCTTCTTATGACACCTACTGTGTCATTTTTCTTACAGCTGAATTGGATGCCTCCAGCACATTCAAGACAGATGCTGGTGTTATTTATAAAGTGCCCTAAGCAGTAAGGAACTTTGGGAGTTGTAGAGGCCAGGCAAACAATTCTGACCAGTGACAATCAGAAGTTCAATACGGTCCCTGATGGGAAAAGCAGGATTTCATGTAGAATCTGCTCCATCAAATAGCGACCACAGAGGCTACACAAGGGAGATCTGATGTATAGGCAACCTGGGAATGATGTATGTATCAGGTTGGCCATGCTTGTTCAGCTTGGAACTAAATTACTTATCATAACATCTTTTCATTATAAACAAATAATGATACAATCCAATATATAAACCTTTTCTAACTGAAAACATTAATCATTAATTTTCCTATGTTATATATTCAGAGATGATTCAAGCTTCTAAAAATCTCAGTGTACTAGGACTTGA